TTTTTTTTTTTTTTTTTTGGAAAAACTATTTAAAAAAAAAAAACAATAAAATTCCCTTTTGGTTAGCTTCATTGTATCTACTCTCATCCATTTTTTCCAACTATTCATTTAAAAAATCATATTTTTTTCCATTTTCCCCCTTGAAATTAATGACGTAATACATTGTTAATTAATTTAATATATATCAATATCCCTAGTTTATATGGATCCAACAATTTTATTTTGTATACAAATTAAGGCATAATTAAGTAGGCATTACATTTAATATCATGGGTAGACAAGTTGATTTAATTAGGTGAGATTCGTATATATTTACATAATTTCACTACACTCTTATTATTATATCTGAGCTATGTTTAAATTGGTCCGTCTTTCTTTTTAAAATTATAAATAATAATTTTATGTATTTACATAATTTCACTACACTCTTAATATTATATCTAACATTGAGCTATGTTTAAATTGGTCCGTTTTTCTTTTTAAAATTATGAATAATAATTTTTTTAATACAAAAGAGTCGATAAATATGAATTAAATTCATTTTCAATTTAATTTTTTCATCGAGAAAATGTGGATTTAATTAGGTAAGGAATTATTGAATTAAAGTGGGAGTAGGTGAGAAATTTGGGTACGTAAGTAAGGATTGTCTTTGGTAGAAAAAATTGTTTAACTAAATCAATGATTTAGCCATCGCCATTATTAATACATACTTTAAAAATATATTAAAAAATGGAAATAAATTTATAAATATCTCCGAACGTTTAAAAGTTGTTATAAATAATTTTCGTCACGTGAAATTGTCTGAAAGATTCGATGACTTGTTGTAAGAGGCCAAATCTTAATCTACTATTGAGTGGACGATTGAATTAGCTTGCATTCAATAACATATCAACTTTTCAAATCTATTTATGCACGTACGCGTAAAAAGTTATTTAATTTTTTGAAGCAAATATATGAACCGACAAAAGATGTTCTAAATAAGTTCTGCATACTACTAATGATTGAGATCTCCGTTTCTTTATGTCAACTTTTAAAAAATAATTAATAATTTAAAAGTTAAAATTCATTGAGAGATCTAAAGAGAGTCACCAGAACCGTGAGATCCCACTTACAATCCATTTTTAATAAGGATGTGGAAACCTCTTTATAACAAACACGTTTTAAAACTATGAAATTGATAACGATATGTAATAGGTAAAAGTAGACAACATCTACTAGCGGTGAGGTTGAGCTATTACAAATGATATCAAAGTCTAACACAATAATGGTTGAAAGAGTGTGCTAACGAATAATTCGTTATAAAGGTGTAGAAACCTCGTACAGAACAAACATCAAACCTTCTTAATTTTATTAATAATCAAACTATATATATATATATTAAATAAATAAATAAATAAATAAAGGATACTAATTTATTTTTAATTAATTATTTCATAGGGACTTAATAGTTAATATGAAATTGTTTTCCTGCTGGCAATAATAAAAGATGACTTTTTTGTCCTTCCATAGAATATAATAGTAGGTAATAATAAAATTTTGAAAAAACTCCATAAAATAATAATAATAATAATAAACATTGGTAGCGTAGAAAGTTGAAAATAACAATAATAATAATAAAATAAGTAAATAAAAGGAGTAGTTATAGAATTGGTCAATTGTGTGTGACATTTAATATGCTTCATTTTCTTACTCATATTGCTATTATTTTATTTTCTTCCAATAAATTATATTTTTTACTTTTCCAATATCTTATCCAAAAATTACGCCCAAACCTGACTCATCAAGGTCAAATTGGACATTATTATTATTATTATTATTATTATTCATAATGATAAATATTAATGTGATTATTCAAATAAGGTTTACCCCTTCCGCCTAACTTAATATTAAAAAAAAAAAAAAAATCTTTTTTTTAAAAGAAATTCCAATATAAAATTTTAAAAATTCTAGATATTATTTTTTCAAAATATTTTGTTAGGTACTACAAAAAGTCTTTATTTATTTATATTTTGATAATGAAGTTTAAAACAAGGTGCATATGATATATATATATATATATATATATATATATATATATATATATATATATATATATATATATAATGGTTTTGGATGAAGATACAATTTCAACCCTAATTAATGGAAGTTTGGTAAATAAGATAGCGAAAGAGAATGACAAAATAATAATAATAATAATGAAGCACCTAATTAAATTTATTTTCCTTTTAAAAATAAATTGGTATCACTCGGAGGGAATCACGGATAGATTTGATAAGCTAATAGACATTCATTAATCATAGAAGTGACTGTGATTTAGTGTAACTGTCTAAGCTTACTCGTAACAGATATTGTCATCTTTAAGTTTTTCTTTTAGACTTTTCCTCAAAAGCTTTAAAACGGGGTTTATTACGGAGAAATTTTACACAGAATATTTTGTTTTTTTTCCAACAGACATGGAATCTTATATTTAAAAACAGGACATGAACAACATTAAAAGAGCTATATCGATCGATATTGCACATCATGCACAGGAGGAGGTAGAAGGAATATTCCATGAGAACTTATTTCCAATATCAGCCATTTCGAACACTAGAACGGAGGCGGCGGCACCACCGGAGGATCGATCGGCCATGCTCTCAACTGTGACGCCTTTACCAATGATTGAGCTATGTCATCCTCCCCATTTTTGCATGATGAACATGAAAACCACTTTCGTTTGAACTTGACCACTTCTGCCACCCCAAGTGCTTGTTCTGAAGGCGGCGGCGACGGCGGCGAAGGAGGAGACGGGAATTTTGCGGTGGTTTTTACCGGCAAGCTTGCAATGATTGATAATATTATCAATACAGCACAAACCAGCTTGGTTGTCGTATAAGATACCATTTTTTCTTTGTTTTATTTCTACGTTTAAGCTTCCACCTCTTTATATATATCGTTTTGGTGAATTTTGTCTACGGATTTATTTTTGTTAATTAAGAATTTTAGTTTATGATGTTTATTTAATTATTAAAATATCATTTTTATGAGAAAAATTTATGACTTGACCTATCTTTTTATTATATTATATATGTCCCGGTAATCTAACGCTTAATATTTAATATTTAGAACCGTTCTAAGGATAGTTAGCTCGAGAAAAGAAAAGAGAAAAAAATATAATATTCTCCGTCATCGATCTTGTTTAGTTAACAAAGAAAAATTTCTCTCAATTTGAAGTGAGTTAAATAGACATCTTTATATGGGTCGTTAAGACATAGTATCATTGATACACGAGTATGAATGAAGCTAATGTTCAAGCAACACACTTTGCAAAAATATAAACTACTAGGTCGTATGTCCATAAAAAATGTAGGCGGACTCGAAGACTTGGGACCTTGGGTTAACAACGAATGAAGGGGAGCTCAAAGTGTTTTCTATTCCAGTGGCTTATGTAGTGGTCGGACGATAGGAAGCTCACTAAGCTTCGCTTCCCTCTTTTCCCTTTTTCAATGAAGTGAAAAGTCTGAACTTAGTAGTTAGCCTTCTATAAGTGACTTGTTGAGTCTATGAAGCTTTATTTCTTGTAGTCGGCCGGGAATGCCTCACTTCATTTGCTTGCATCCCACATCAATTGGGGAAGAGAACGAAACATTCTTTATAATTATGTG